TGTCTGTCTGTCTGTCTGTCTGTCTGTCTGTCTGTCTGTCTGTCTGTGTGTGTGTGTGTGTGTGTGTGTGTGTGTGTGTGTGTGTCTGTCTGTGTGTGTGCGTGACAGTAGATTGCATATAATTGCTGTTCTGTTTGTCTTGCTGTATCTTTTTGGTGTGAATGGGAGCACTGAGTAGGGAGAGAGGGAATAATCCTCCTGTATCTCTTTCTTCAACCGACCGGAACACCGCTCTCGCCTCTTGCTGGGGAGCGCACGCACACGCACGCACATGCACACACACACAAACAAACAAATGCACCACCCAACCAACCATGAAATCGTAATGTCAGACCTGTTAATGCCTCTAGATAGCGGTAACCGCATCCCTTCGTGGTCCTGCGTCTTTCACACACACACACACACACACACATAAATGGAATAAACAGAGAGCTATCTGTCTCTCTGACAGGAATGTTCCACTCAGTCAGTAGTGGCTGGAGGATTTTTGGTTGTTTTCATTGATATCTGCTAGAGACCTTGTTAATTCCTACACCTTGGGAATGCAGGCTGCCTCAAAACACAGTTGTATTTAGATGAAAAACATACAATGTGATATTTGTATTCACAATGCAACGCCTGCATGCACGTATATACTCCCAAACCTCCAGCCCAGTTTAGTTCTCCGTTGTAATCCTCTTAATTGCATGTATTAACATCGAGTTTCTGCCAGGTTTATGTAGTTAACAACTAATATTCTGTATGACTTCATTTTGGGATCATTGTGCCTGTTTTCTGAGAGGTATTTCTAGGTTATATGAGTCATAAACCATGGGGAAGTAGGGCTGGGTGTATTCATTTTCATGCCAATATATTGAATTTTCTTCTTTCTTTTTTTCTCCTTTTCATAATCGGTTGTACAAAACATGTGTGTGTATAGTGGCCTTACATAAGCAAGCAACACTTTTTCAAACCTAGCAGTTCAGTTTCATTTGTATCCTCCAGCACACGCGTTCCTGCCACCATCAAAGTCACCTTACATTTTTGTCATGCATACTAACTGAGAAAATAACTGTCAACATTAATACATGCTGTACTCTGAGGGCTCATTACTTGTTACTAATTTGTTTTCTAATCGTTTAAAATGGCTGAAATATGCACTAATAAACAAAGCTTAACACTTAATTGTTGTTTTGTTTTTTTAGTGATCTAGAGGGACTATGGTGCATAATCAGCACACCATTTAAACACAGTTTACTCACATTTGTTGAGCTTTAAATGTGTAAACTGTCATGATCAGCATCTTCCCTCAGGAAGATAGACAGAAGATCTATAGAGACATAAAATCTATATGAAAATCAGCTTTTAACCCATTTGACCCTTTGCAGAAAATAATGTATTTTTAAAACCAGAAACAGGACTTTCATATATTAGTTTACAGCATCAGAATTTGGTTCTCAGTACTGTTGACTGTCAAACAGCAGCACACAACTCTGTAGTGTTTTTACTGCTTTGTCCTGTAACCCATATCAGTAGTCCAAATAAATAGACCTATTCCTAAAAACAGACACGCGGGCTATTTGTTTTACCTTACTTCCCCATTTACTCTGACAGTATACTTCGTTGATTGAGCACATGTCTGACAACATCAAATTTCACTGTGACCTGTAGTAATCAAAGCGATCCTCGCCTCTAATGGAGAATGTAGTCAGTGTAATGGAACAGGCCAATATCTGACGAACACCAGGTACATCATGCTCTGTTTATTTGTGTGTGTGTGTGTGTGTGTGTGTGTGTGTGTGTGTGTGTGTGTGTGAGAGAGAAATTGGTTGTGTGTGTGCTTTCACATCGATCCCTGCAGTCAGTGTGTGTGTGTGTGTGTGTGTGTGTGTGTGTGTGTGTGTGTGTGTG